GCATCGGATTCAAGCCTAAGAAATCCAAAATCTTCTAACCTACGCTTTTGATCAAAAACCCAACCAAACCACATCCGAATGAACAAAAATTTTTCACACACATCCCAAATGACACAACGGAACTACTGTAACTCTCGGAATTCCATTCCGACCCTCGGATCAAAATCTCACTATCGAACCGGAAACTTCAAAAATTCAACTTTCGGCATTTCAAGCCTAAATTAGCTACGGACTTCCAAAACACAATCCGAACACACCCCTAAGCCCGAAATCACCTAACGGAGCTAACGGAACCATCGAATTTCCATTCCGAGACTGTATTCACACTGTTCCGACTACGGTCAACTTTCCAACACTTAAACTCTCATTTAGGGACTAAGTGTCCCAAAACTCTCCGAAACTCGAAACCGAACATCCCGGCAAATAAAAATAGCAAAAATAAACTTGGGGAAAGTAGTTAATAGGTGATCGGGGTGTAAATTCCAAAAACGACCGGCCGGGTCGTTACATCCTCCCACACTTAAACATTCGTTCGTCCTCGAACGAGCACAAAGACATACCTGAAGTAGTGAAAAGATGAGGGTACTGGCTGCACATATCCTGCTCGGTCTCCCAGGTCACCTCCTCGACCGGCTGACCCCGCCACTGAACCTTCACTGATATTGACCTGCCTGTCCAATATTGCCACTGGCTCCTCAACATAAGATAGATCCTTTTCCAACTGGACTGAGCTGAAATCTAACACGTGCGACGGATCACCGTGATACCTCCGGAGCATCGAAACATGAAATACCGGATGAACTCCCGCCAAGCTGGGAGGCAAGGTAAGCTCGTAAGCAACCTCCCCAACACGCCTCAATATCTCAAAAGGGCCAATAAACCTCGGACTCAACTTCCCCTTCTTCCCAAATCTCATAACGCCCTTTATAGGCGAAACCCGAAGCAGAACCCGCTCTCCAACCATATAGGAAACATCACGAACCTTCCGGTCCGCGTAACTCTTTTGTCTGGACTGGGCTGTACGGAGTCTATCCTGAATCACCTCGACTCTCTCCAAAGCATCCTGAACCAAGTCTGTGCCCAATAATCTAGCCTCACCTGGCTCGAACCAACCCACCGGAGATCTACATCGCCTACCATATAAGGCCTCGTACGGTGCCATCTGAATGCTGGACTGATAGTTGTTGTTGTAGGCAAACTCCGCTAATGGCAAGAACTGATCCCAAGAACCTCCAAACTCAATCACACACGCACGGGCATATCCTCAAGAATCTGAATAGTGCGCTCGGACTGTCCGTCCGTCTGAGGGTGAAATGATGTGCTCAACTCCAACCGAGTACCCAACTCCTGCTGTACAGCTCTCCAGAACCGCGATGTGAACTGAGTACCTCTGTCTGAAATGATGGAAACTGGAATACCATGCAGACGGACAATCTCCCGAATATAAATCTCCGCCAGCCGCTCCGAGGAATAGGTAGTACACACAGGGATGAAATGCGCGGACTTGGTCAGCCGATCCACAATAACCCAAATGGCATTGAACTTCTTCAAAGTCCGTGGGAGCCCAGATACGAAGTCCATGGTGATCCGCTCCCACTTTCATTCCGGAATCTCTATCTGCTGAAGCAATCCACCCGGCCTCTGGTGCTCATACTTCACCTGCTGACAATTAAGGCACCGAGCTACAAACCCAACTATATCCTTGTTCATCTGCCTCCACCTCAAATCCTGATACATCTTCGCGGCACCCGGATGAATGGAATACCGCGAACTATGGGCCTCCTCTAGAATCAACTCTCGAAGCCCATCAACATTGGGTACGCAAACTCAACCCTGCATCCTTAGTACTCCGTCAGCACCAATAGTCACATCTCGAGCATCGCCATGCAACACTTTGTCCTTGAGGACAAGCAAATGAGGGTCATCAAACTGACGTTCCCGGATACGATCAAACAAGGAAGACCGAGAGACCACACAAGCTAGAACCCGACTGGGCTCCGAAAGATCCAATCTCACAAACTGGCTGGCTAGGGTCTGAACATCCATTGCCATAGGCCTCTCTGCTGCTGGTAAATAAGCCAAACTCCCGAAACTTTCTGCCCGGCGGCTCAAAGCATCGGCCACCACATTGGCCTTGCCCGGGTGATACAAGACAGTGATGCCATAATCCTTCAGCAGCTCTAGCCATCTCCTCTCACGCAAATTAAGGTCCTTTTGGTTGAACAGATGCTGCAAACTCCGGTGATCAGTATAGATCTCACAAGGCACGCCGTACAAGTAATGGCGCCAGATCTTCAAGGCATGAACAATAGCAGCTAACTCAAGATCATGGACAGGAGTATATTTCTCATGTATCTTCAACTATCTAGACGCGTAGGCAATCACCCTACCGTCCTGCATCAATACCGCTCCAAGGCCAACTCTCGAGGCATCACAATAGACAGTATAAGACCCCGAACCGGTAGACAATATCAAAATTGGGGCTGCAGTCAGAGCTGTCTTGAGCTTCTGAAAGCTCTCCTCGCACTCTTCCGTCCACTAGAACGGAGCACCCTTCTGGGTCAGTCTGGTCATAGGTGCTGCAATAGATGAAAACCCCTGAACAAATCGGTGGTAATAACTTGCCAAGCCAAGAAAACTACGGATCTCTGCAGCTGAGGATGGTCTGGGCCAACTCTGCACGACCCCCACTTTCTTCGGATCCACCTGAATACCCTCTCTCGAGACCACATGACCCAAAAACGCCACGGAATCCAGCCAAAACTCACATTTTGAGAACTTAGCATACAACTTCTTCTCTCTCAAGGTCTGGAGCACTGCCCTCAGGTGCTGCTCATGATCTCCCCGACTCCGGGAATATACCAGAATGTCATCAATAAAAACGATCACGAACGAATCAAGATATGGCCGGAAAACACTGTGCATCAGATGCATGAAGGCTGCTGGGGCATTAGTCAGCCCAAATGACATAACAAGGAACTCGTAATGACCATACCGAGTCCTGAAGGCAGTCTTCGGGATATCTGGCTCCCGAATCTTCAACTGATGATAGCCTGAACGCAAGTCAATCTTAGAAAACACACAAGCACCCTGCACCTTGTCGAACAGGTCATCAATACGAGGCAAAGGATAGCGGTTCTTCACTGTCACCTTATTCAACTGGCGGTAATCAATATACATACGCATAGAACCATCCTTCTTCTTCACAAATAACACAGGAGCACCCCAAGGCGATACACTGGGCCGAATGGAACCCTTATCAAGTAATTCCTGCAATTGCTCCTTCAACTCCTTCAACTCAGGAGGAGCCATACGGTACGGAGGGAGAGAAATGGGTTGAGTGCCTGGCAACAGATCAATGCCAAAATCAATGTCTCTATCGGGTGGCATGCCCGGAAGATCAGCTGGAAACACATCAGGGAAATCCCGTACTACTGGGACTGAATCAACAGAAGGAGTATCCATACTGGCATCTCTCACATAAGCTAAGTACGCATCACAACCTTTCTCGACCATACGCTGAGCCTTAATGAAAGAAATAACTCTACTGGGAGTGTGACCTAAAGCACCCCTCCACTCAATACGCGGTACACCTGGCATGGCCAGCGTTACGGTTTTGGCGTGACAATCAAGAATAGCATAATGGGGCAACAACCAGTCCATGCCCAAGATAATATCAAAATCAACCATGCTGAGCAATAATAAGTCGGCTCTGGTCTCAAAACCACCAAGAACAACCAAACATGACCGATAAACGCGGTCCACAACAAGAGAATCTCCCACGGGAGTAGAAACATAAACTGGGGAACTCAAAGAATCCCGAGGTACACCCAAATGTGGCGCAAAATAAGAAGACATATAAGAATAAGTGGAGCCTGGATCGAATAGAATTGATGCATCTCTGTGACAGACCAAGATAGTACCTGTGATGACAGAATCGGAGGCGACAGCCTCAATACGGGCTGGAAGAGCATAATATCTGGCCTGGCCTTCTCCTCGAGGGCGACCTCTACCTCCCCGACCTCCACCTCTGGCTGGCTGGGCCGGTGGAGTAGCAACTGTGCTGGGACCATAGCCTGAGAGCTCTGCGGGGTCTGCTGTGGCTGAGGAGTCTACGGAGGTGCACCCCTCCTAAGTCTGGGGCAATCCCTCACCATAAAACTCTCCGAAACTCGAAACCGAACATGGCAAATTAAAATAGCACAAATAAACTTGGGGAAAGCAGTTAATAGGGGATCAGGGCGTAAATTCCAAAAACGACCGGCCGGGTCGTTACAATAAACTTTTTTGGTTCGGGCTATCGATTTTACCCGATATATGCCCAGCCCTACTCTACTCCATGGAGTCAAACTCGCCTTAAGAGACAAAATTACTATATCAAAACTGATTGTCAAGAATTAACAAAACATATTTATTAATGACAATTATCAAAATTTGGTTTATGATTGCATGTCCATATTATCTGATACAGGTAATCCAACCTTAAAGCACGTGTCTAGAGAAGCTAATTAGTGAAGAATATATATAGCTTGAATGTTTTTGGAAGTTTATTTGTCTATCCTATTTCCCCCGCTTTTGTTATTTGTGATTTTGAAAGAGAGAGAATAAGAGTCCGTTTGGATGAGCTTGTTTTAAGTGACTTTTAAGCCAAAATAGCTTATCAGCCATAAGTTAGGAATTCTAACTTTTGGCTTTTGGCTTGTTTTTGTCATTTTAGCTTAAAAATAAGTGCTTAAAAGCACTTTTTTACTTTATCCAAACATTACAAAATGGCTTAAAAGCGATTTTGGCTTAAAAACACTTAAAAACAAGTCTATCCAAACGGGCTCTAAATACTATGTTGCCTAGTCTAGTCTTCCTTTGTAAGTAATTACTTAAATAAAAGTCTTCTATTACAACAACCAAAAAAAAAAATTAAAAAATATTCATATATTGCAACAAGGAAATGAGCTTTTGGGATAATTACAAATATACCATTGTGTCCCAAATCCACATAAAAAAAACCCTCACATAGCCGAAATCAGAAACCCTAGCTTTCACCAAATCCAAAAACCGGAAGAGAGAAAAGGGCGGTGGTGGAGGAGAAGACGAAAGCAAAAGAGTTTTGTAATTCACCATGGCGGAGCACTTGGCTTCCATATTCGGTACTGAGAAAGATAGGGTGAATTGCCCTTTCTACTTTAAGATCGGTGCGTGTCGGCATGGTGACCGCTGCTCTAGGCTTCACACCAAGCCTAGCATCAGCCCTACCTTAGTGCTGTCTAATATGTACCAGCGCCCTGATATGATTACCCCTGGTGTTGACCCTCAAGGCCAGCCCCTTGACCCTCGCCAGATCCAGCGCCACTTCGAGGTATCTCTCTCTCTATATGTATATATGTATATCTCTCTCTGTGTGTGTATACAGTGTCTTACTGGTTGTGTATACAGTGTATACAGTGTCTTACTGGTTGTGTATGTATGGATGCATAATTATTTGTTTTGTTTTTATTTTGTATGGACACATACACGTGTACGATATGAATTTAGCTTAAATGGAGAATTGAGAATTCATATAGCTGACCTCAACTTGTTTGGGACTTAGGTGTAGTGGTTGTGTTTGTTAGACATCTGTGTGTGTATGTGTCCACATGGATCGATCTTGTTATACATGGGAATCTAAGGAGGTTCGAATCTGCTCATCTGCTGTCCTTGGTGGGCAGGTGGATGCGCAAAACCTGTACTCAAAAAAAAGAAAAAAACATATATGTATGAGTGTGGACGCTTGTGTGTGTATGATATAGTGTCTTACTGGTTTTGTACGTATTGATGGATGAATTGTCTAACTGTTATCTGTCGTGTTAAAAGTGTCTTATTGGCTTTTCTCCGTCATCTTTTTTTCTTTTTGGCATGACCATGTATCGCTGAATATATATAACATATTGTGTAGATTTGTTGTTATAACCTATACTTTCTGATTAATAAGTAAGGTTGCTTTAGTTTTAGATTGGAAGCTCCCCCCCCCCCCCCCCC